CTGCGGGGCGCCCGGGGCTCCGCCGACAGGACGCCCGACGGTCCAGAGACGGAGCCGGAGCGGGAGCACGAGCCGGTGCGCGACGTCGGGGCGGAGAGGCCCCAGGGCAGCCAGGTGCGCGCAGGGCGAGGCCTCAGCGCTCCGGTCTAGAAGTGGGCGGGGCTGATTGTTGACGTGGGCAGGAGTGAGGGTCCCAGGGCTCAGAGAGGGATAGTAAGGGCCTGGGCCCCTGGGAGGTTTCACTCCGCTGGGTCGGGCAGGGCCCCAGGTCACCTCCCTCCCGGAGACCCCCAGGGCGGAGAGTCCCGGGTTCCGGTGGCCCCTCCACTCCCCTTTGAGCGGGAGCGGGATCTAAGAACTTGCCTGGAAGGCATCCGTTAGTAGCAGAGCTGAAGCCATTTTTGCGTTCAACTTGAGTTTGACGGGAGGGGTAAACATTTATCACTCTCATCAATCAAAGTTGTGGGGTAGGGGGTTGTCAGGGCACCAGGAGCACAGAGGAGGACGCTGTTCCATGCTTTGGGGAGGGGGCTTCACAGAAGCTTTCCTGGAAGAGTTCCCGTTTAAGCTGAGACTAGGGAGGATGCAGAGGAATTAACTATGGAAAGTGCAGGAAGGCGTTACAGGTGTGGAAACGGCTGTGCAAAAGCCCGGGGGCAGAGAGCGCCTGGTGAGTTAGTGAAATGGCAATAAGAACAGCTCCCGTCGTTCAGTGGGCGCCTACACGGGGTGCTAAGCTCTGTGTGTGCGTTTAGTTAATTCTCACAGCAACCCCAGGAGATATTTGCTTTGTGGAAGAGGGCACTGAGGCATGAAGAGGTTAAGTACCAGTGTCTCCCAGCTGGTGATGAGTTGCTGGGTAGTTGAACGCAGGTGAACTCAAGGCCCTGGTAATAATCAGTATGGCTGGAGCATTAACGGTGGGTATGGAGGGCAGCCTCCCCGGACCAGCAGGCCTGCACCAGAAGGCCATCCAGGGGCTCAGCTTGCCCCCAGCCCATCCCCAGATAGACCAGCTCCTCCAGCTGCGACTCTTGGCTGCCCCCTCCCTTCCCCTGCCCAGCCCTCTCCACTGCTGTAGGCTGGAGTGGGCCCTGCTGCCTCCTGGTGGCTGAAGCCCCCTCTTCCCCAGGCCTCCGCGGTGTTTGGAGGTGACATTTATTGCTCTTCTTTGGTGCAGATGGTGACAGCCCCTGTCAGCCAGCCTCACGGCGCTATTCCTGTCCTGCCTTGTTCTGGTTGTCAGTCACAGTCGGGGAGGTGGCAGGTACAGCAGTGGCAGCCGGGGGCTGCATTCTGAGTTTGCTCTCCAGCCCAGCCACTCCTGTGCTCTGTGACCCAGAACAAGTCCCTTCCCTCCTGTTTCCCCATTTGTGGAACGGCTTTGGACCAGGTGGCATCCGAGGCCCCCACGCAGACAGTCTGAGCTACAGGAGGAGTAGAATCTCACTCCTCAGGGGGTCCTCGGGGCCATTATCCCAGTGCAGATAGGGAAACCAAGGGCCGCTCAGGGAAGGGGCTGGCCTGGACTCGTCTGGGAAGGCTGTGGGGGAAGCCCGGCTGGAGCGGAGGTCGTGGGCATCTCGGGTTTGTGGTCAGAGGCAGGCCTTGGGGGTGGGCAGGAGCAGGCTGGAGGTGGGGGGGGGCTTGGCATTGGGTTCATAATCCCTCTACTTCCTGTCTGGGAGCTGGTTCTGCTCACAGAGGCTGCCTTCCTGTGCATCTTGACCATGTCACTCATCTCCCGGTGCCTTAGTGTTTGCATCTAAAAAATGGGATAATAGAACCAGCATTCCTTTTGAGGGCATCTAGGTCTTATCCATTGTGGGACTCTGCTTCTATGTTCATTCACACCGGGGACAGGGAGCTCACCACTTCTCCTGGGAAATCTTCCAGGATACAGGGAACCTTGGTGGCTGATTCTGTGTGCAGTTCCAGGAGGTGAAGGGGGAATCCCAGAGGAGGGGGTGTCCCTCACTCTCCAGGGATGGAGAGGCAGGCTACAGAAGAGGACACTGGGGACCAGAAGGGCTGTGTGACTTGCCCAAGGTTACCCACCAAGCTGATCCCAGATCCAGGGCCTGGGAGAGGCCATGAGGAAGGCCAGGAGGGTGAGGGCTCAGGAGCCACTGGTCCAGCCTCCGCCTTGGTCCCCACAGGAGCTGGAGCTGGTGGAGAGCCTGCTGAAGAGCAGACCAGAGGAGCCCGAGGGCTGCTGGGAGGCGCGCAGCGTGGGGGCCGGGGGCCCACGGGGCAGCTCGGGCCGCCAGGAGCGCAGCTGGCTGCCCTGGGAGGACACGGCCACCATCGAGGAGGATGCCTCCAAGTTGACCGCCCTACGCCTGCGGCTGGATGAGTCCCAGAAAGTGCTGCTCAAGGAGCGAGAGTGAGTCCCGGGAGGCGGGCAGGGGCTGCGGACGGGCCAGGCCACGCCTAGGCACCCTCAGAGTCCCAGAATGAAAATCAGTGTCACAGAACGTGAGGCTCGCTGAAGGGGAATGGTACTGTCCGGGCTCGAGTCTTGGGATGTTCAAGCAGCCGTGTTCTGCCCGAGGACCCGATGCACAGTTTTTTTTATTAATTCAAATAATACATAGTGGGCATCTGCTCTGGGTCAGGCACTGTGCCTGGCAGTGAGGACACAGCCATAAATAAGACCAAACAACCCCGCCTTCCCGGAGCTTACATTCTAGTGGGGAGACAGTGCCGTGGGCAGAGGTTAAAGCAGGGAAGGAGGGACGGGAGGTTGCAGGGTGGCAGGTGGGAGTTTGGTTTTGGACATGTTAATTTTCAGATGACAGGGAAGCAGTTGGATACGTGAAAGAGTCTGGGGTTCATGAGACACCTCTGGGCCGGAGGGGAAAATGCAAGAGTCATCAGCAAATAGATGAGATTGAAAGCCATCAGCTGGGGAGAGTGGGTGGGGAGCGGTCAGAGGACAGAGCCTGGAGCTGACCAAGTATAGAGCAGAGGAAGAGGGAGGCAGCAAGGGAGACCTGAGCTGGTGGCGGGCGGGGAAACCGGGAGAAGGAGGAGGGAGTGTCAGCTGGTCAGGTAAGAAGAGGACTGAGCACTGACCAGTGGATTTAGAATGTGGAGGTCACCAGTGACCTTGCAGGGCCACAAGCCTGATTATAATGAATATCTCATAATGCCCCCTTTTCTGTCCAGACGCTAAATGCACAGATAGTATAATCTATCTACACACATAATTTTTCTTTTAAATCAACATCGTGGCTTTGTGAAGATGAAGGCAGAGATCAGGGTGATGCTTCTGTAAGCCCAGGAACACCAAAGATGGCCAGCAGACCTCCAGAAGCTGGGGGAGAGCGTGGGACAGACTCCTCCTCACAGCCCCAGAGGGAACCAACCCTTTCGACACCTTGATCTTGGACTTCTAGCCTCCAGAACTATGAGACAATACGTTTCTGCTTAAGCAAAACGAATGGACAAAAATCAACGTATTGTACTAACTGAAGTATAAAGTGGAAAGGAAAGGAATTGATGATAAAATCTATGCATCGTGACGTGGAGATGCTCGGGCACAGCTCCCCCGGAAGAAATCACGAAGTAGTCGGATTCTGGGGCCTTTATTCGGGACGAGAGTGCTGAGAACCCTGGGAGCAGGTGCTTACGTGGCACGTCCTCCGAGTCGGGCACAGTGCTGAAGCTTTCTGTGTCTTTGCTCATCTAAGTCACTCCCAGGACAGCTACAAAAGCGGCAGGTGCGGTGAGCAGGGCTGGCAACTCACACGCACGAGTGGTGTCGCTGTGGTGACGTGATTTCGTGGGGGACGAAGAGCCTTTGGTGAAGTTCTGAACGAAGCCGAGTGCGGTCTTGCCTCAGTTGATACAGTGATTCCGTTCCTGGAAAACTCGATGTTCATACAAAAGATACTTCTGTGTGTGTGTCAGTCAGTGTGAGGTCTAGGCGCAGATCTAGAAAAGGATCTCCTGTTCACCCCCAGGGATGTCCAGTGGGACACACGCGCGTACACGGGATGGAGGATGATTCCTGGGTGGACGGGATGTCCCGGGTATGCAGGGCGTCAGGTCCCCGTGGTCCCCGCCCACTAAATGACCCCGTCATCGTGATAACCAAAAATGCCCCCGCGGGTTTCTCACATGCCTCCTAGAGGGTGCCAGCGTCTCCTCGGAGAACCCCACGTTAGAGACATGAACGTTAGACTTGCAGAAAGGGAGACCAGGGGCCGGCCCGGTGGCGTAGTAGTTAAGTTCACACGCTCCGCTTCAGTGGCCCGGGGTTCACAGGTTCAGCTTCTGGATCCCGGGTGTGGACCTACACACTGCTCATCAAGCCATGCTGTGGCAGCGATCCACATACAAAATAGAGGAAGATGGGCACAGATGTTAGCTCAGGGCCAATCTTCGTCAGCAAAAAAAAAAAAGAAGAAGAAGAAAAAAGAGCAGCACGGCGTGGCGTTGTGAAGCACAGCCTGCTGGGGTGTAATGATCAGCGCAGCTGGTGGTTGAGCGCCTACTGTGTGCTGGGGCCAGGCACCGTGCTCATTACCCATGGTGCCTCATTCGTGTTCAGGGAGAGTGCAGAGTGGTGATCCTGGGAGGTCCGCCCAGTGGATCTTATCCCTCTTGTCACTGGACAGTGTTTTCCAGCTTTTCTAACTGTAAAACTGTGTTCAGAGCAAGCCTTACAGGAGCCACAGTTCATAAAACAGGAACAGGGTCGTATTTGGTAGATGAGCGTGGGGCCCAGAGAGAGGGAGGCACTTACCCGGGGACGGCCAGTGCCCTGGAGGCCTGGTCACCTCCTCACACCGTGAGCTGGGCACCTGCAGTTGTGTAGGGGGTACAGCTCCAGGAGAAGTGCAAAACCAGGGAGCCTGCCACGGTGTAAGGTGCCAGGGCCTTGAATGCCGAGGCAAGGACTTAAAGATGGGGGCCCCACAGGTGCAGACTGCACAGGAGGACTCTGAGCAGAGGGCCCCGGTGGGCTCACCCCTGTGTCTGCCTCTCCCCTTCCCTCCCCAGGGATAAACTGGCACTGAGCAGGAACATTGAGAAGCTGGAAGGGGAGCTCAGCCAGTGGAAGATCAAATACGAGGAGCTCAGCAAGACCAAGCAGGAGATGCTCAAGCAAGTGAGTCTTGGAGACCAGGGGTGCTTCCTGGAGGAAGCAGCATTGTGCTGTTGAATTTCAGCAGTGGGAATGGGAGAAAGAAGGGAGTTCGTTCACTGTCAAGCGCTGGCCACGTGCCGCGCAGTGTTCCGATGCTGGGGCAGGTAATGTCTCTGCCTTCAGGAGCTCACCTTGTGGGGGCCCCGGGTGCGGGAGACCAGCAGCAACCAGGCAGATAAATCCATAAGCTACGAAGGAGCAAAAATGAGATGAGAGAGATGGGGTGATGGGTCAGGGAAGGCCTGAGAAGGTGACATTTGAGGCAAGACCCAAAGGGATTCGAAGAAGCCGTCCTTGAGAGGATATGGGAGCGGAGTTCTTGGCAGGAGGCATGGCAAATGCAAAGGTCCTGAGGCCAGAACAGGCCGAGGCTGTACAGGAAACAGGCCAGTGGGACTGGAGGGTAGTAAGTGAGAGATGAGGTCGCAAGGAGAGCTGAATCTCACGGGGCCTCGTGGACCAAGACAAAGGGGCGGGGTCTGGATGTAGCGTTCAGCGGGCGGTGGCGTGTGCTGGATCTCACGGAAGCCTCGTGGCTGTCGAGGAGCCCGTGTCCTGACGTCCAGTCTTACAAATGACGCTGAGGCTCCAGGGCAGGCAGGGGTCCGGCTGGGCGGCCATTGCTGCCTCCACTGCAAGCCCCATGGCCACTAGGGGGCGCGGCCACCCAGAGAAAGCCGGCTGGATGGGTGCATTTCCAGAACATGGGAGGATCACAGACCTCAGCCTGAAACTGCCCTGTCAGGGACGAAGACGGGTCTTACAGTAGAATCTGTTAGAGAATCTCCTATGATATAGCTTTCTGGACCCACCCTCACCCTCCTGAATCAACATCTTTGGGCGTCAGGTCCAGGAATCTGTCTTTTTAGTCTTTTCAAATTATGAAGTGTAATCATTTGCAGAAAAGTGAGTAAAGCACAAACATACAGTTTGGCAGATACTTGTCAAGATTCCCCATTGTATGTGCTGCTTTCCGTCAACATCACGTATTTAAGGTCATCCCCATAATTGCAGCAAGTGGAAGTTTGTAGGTCTCCCTGCTGTACCGAGAATCTGCACTGTGTTGAAAGCACCCTCGGGGGTTCTGATGTGGCCAACCCGGCACCCACAGGCAGACCCGTGTTCACATCCACTGGATGTGTCCAGCCATTATACATTGAGGGCTACCCTGTGTTAAGGCGATACAAGGATACAAAGGTGGATAGACAGACAAGCTCTCTGTTCTCCTGAGCTCACATTCTTCTAGTAGGGATTAGGATGGAGAGCAGAGGAGGCACCTCCTCTAGGCAAGGAGGATAGGAGAGGCCTCCCTATGGAGAGGGCATTTAGGCCAAGACCAAAGAATGGGAAAAGTCAATCCTGCAAAATACCTCGGAAGGAGTGTACCAGGCAGAGGGAACCACACGTGCAAAGGCCCTGCAGTGGGCAGGAATTCGGTGTCTTTGAGGACTAGAAAGGAGGTTGCTGTGCACAGTGAACTAAGGGGAGCGGGGCAGGAGTTGAGATAGAGGAGAGATGGACGGGTCTGATTGTGCAGGGCTCTATGAGACCGTAGGAAGAGGTTGGTCTTTATCCTAAGGAACCCAGAGATGGGGATGTGAGTGAATTTATCTTTTTTAAAATCTCATTCTGGGCTACTATTGTGGAAAAGGAGTTGACAGGGAGGTCAAGAGCGGACATCGGGAGGCTAGATGGTAGTGAGGTAGGAGGTGAGAGATGTTGGACGCAGCAGAAGTGCTCAGATTCAGGGCCTGTTCTGGACACCCAGGGGCCCATTGGGTACCGCCCCAGGCTCCTTGCTGAACGCTCCTGCACCATCGGGTGGTCCTCCCATAACCAGGCTGGGCTGTGTCCTGCAGCTCAGCATCCTGAAGGAGGCCCACCAGGATGAGCTGGGCCGCATGTCCGAGGACCTGGAGGACGAGCTGGGTGCGCGGTCCAGCATGGACAGGAAGATGGCGGAGCTGAGGGGCGAGGTGAGGGGCCTGGGAGGGCCTGGGGCTTGAGGGTCTGGGGGCCCTGCCTCCGTCTGCCGGTCACTCGAAGAGGGCGGGAGGCAGGCCTGTGCTCTGGGGGACAGGGACAGCCCGAGGGTGCCCGAATCTGCAGGGGGCGGACCTCCCTCCCAGAGAGCAGCCGGCCCTGGCAGCCTGCGCACGGGGAGGTGAGCCCGGGGTAGTTCTAGCCGCTGGAGGGGGGCGCGTCCGGCTCAGGCCCTTCCGTGCCGCTGCCCCGGGAGCCCTCACCCCGCCTGCCCTGTTGCAGATGGAGCGGCTGCAGGCGGAGAACGCGGCCGAGTGGGGCCGCCGCGAGCGGCTGGAGACGGAGAAGCTGGGCCTGGAGCGCGAGAACAAGAAGCTGCGCGCGCAGGTCGGCGACCTGGAGGAGGCGCTGGCCCGGCGGCGGAGGCAGACCGCCAGCGCGCTGGACTGCGACCTGCGGGCCAGCCAGGCCGCGCTCTTCGAGAAGAACAAGGTGGGGCAGCGGGGGCGCGGCCAGGGCCGGGGCGGCCCCACCTCCGTCCAGCCAGACAGAGCAGCACTGCGTGTCCACTCCAGCCCGCAGGGGGCCGGGGACCCCTGAAGTAACAATGGAGGACAGAGGTGGCGATCGCCCTGGAAGCTGCTCCTGGGCACCCACTGTGGGCCAGGCCTGGTGATTATGATAGAGGCTGCATTTATTGAGCACCCGCTGTGGGCCAGGCCTGGTCATTATGATAGAGGCTGCATTTATTGAGCGCCTACTGTGGGCCGGGCCCTGTGTCAGTGCTTTTTGTCTGTTATATCAGTTAATCCTCTCAACAGCCATTTTATTTATCCTACACATGTCTATTGAGCACCGACTGTGTGTAGGCCTCGTTCTAGGTGCTGGGGACACAGCAGTGAGCAGACAGGACGGACACGGCCTCCCCTCCTGCAGCCAATGGCTTAGGGGTGCAGACGTTGCTCTCTCCGTCAGGCACACACACTGGTCACACAGCTTCGTGGCTGCCGGCGGGAAGAGGGAGCACCAGGGACCTGGTTTAGGCCCAGGGTCCTGGAAAGGCTTCCCTGAGGCAGTGATATTTGAGCCAAAAAGTCTCAAGGAAAAGGAGACGTTACCTGGGAGCGAACTGACTTGGGGAGAGGAGTTGGAAATAATGTGAATAAATGTCCCAAGGTGACAGGGACATGAAGCTTTGGAGGAACAGGGAAGCCAGTGTGGCTGGAGGGGAGTGGGCAAGGGGGACATGGCAGGAGGTGGGGCCGGGGCTGTGGGCCACCTTTGAGAATAAGAGGTGGGTGTGAGCAGGCTACAGTTCAGAGTGCTCACTGGCTGCCGTGTGGAAGGCACATGGGAAGGCAGGCCAGTGGGGAGGCTATCGCTGTTTCCTGAGGCAGCAAGAGATGATGGAGCCCTGGACCAGGCTGAGGCTGGTGGAGATGGAACAAAGAGGGGGGATTCGAGAGACCTTTAGACAGTGCCTAGCCCCATTTTACAGATGTGAAGACTGAAGCTCGGAGAAATCACAGAGCTCAGGAATGGGCATCTCCTTTCCAAGCTGCTCATCCTCACCCCAGCCACTCCAGCCTCTGATCTCTTTTCCTCCGACACTGACTCCCCAGCTGAGCTCATCCACAGACCCAGGGCTTTAAATACCATTTATAGACCAAAGGCTCCAGAGCCCCTTCCTCCCCAGAAAATCTGACTCAGCTCTACTGGCCTGCTGGACATCTCCACCGTGTTTCCAGCAGGCGCCTCAAAGTTACACATCCAAAATGGAGCCACTCATCCACCCACCCGGTCCTCTCTGCTCATTGCCCCCCAAGCCTCTCACCTCACTAGATGCCACGTCTGGCCTCCAGCCGTCCAGCCAGACCTCTGGTGCTCGTGTTTAGAGAGCAGGTGGAGAGATTGTGGGGAGAAGGGCCACCCGCATCCCAGGACCGCCGGACCCCTGGGACTCCCTGGCGCGGTGCCCTCTGACACCCAGCCCTCCCCCGTCTCTGCTGCCCGGCAGGAGCTGGCGGACCTGAAGCATGTGCATGGCAAGCTGAAGAAGCAGTGCCAGGAGAAGGTGGCGGAGCTGGCACACGCCACCCGGCGTGTGGAGCAGCACGAGGCGGAGGTGAGGAAGCTACGGCTGCGGGTGGAGGAGCTCAAGAAGGAGTTGGCCCAGGCTGAGGACGAGGTGAGCGCCTGCTGGGGCCTTCAGACCTCAGCTGGGGCAGGGCGGGGCTGCAGCGCCCTCCTGTGTGGCGCCCTGCTGGCTCCCCAGTGCCTAGCAGGAGCCTGACTCTCAGGAGGTGCCCAGGGTAGAGTGGGTGGGTGGGCGATGGGTGGATGGTGGTAGATAAGTGTGTGGGTAGGAGGGTGGGAAGAAAAATGGACAGACGAGGTAGATGAGTGGTTGAGGAGATTAATGGGTGGATGAGTGGGTGGAGGCATAGGTAGTTAAATGGAAGGAGAGAAAGATAACTCTGCAGTGATGAACAGATGAGTGAGAGGATAGGTGGATAGATGGATGGGAGAGGGAGGAAGGATGTAGGGATGAGATGTAATAGCAGATGTCTGGTGGGTGATTGGATGGGTAGATCAGTGGATGGGTG